AACATGATTTTTAAACTACATAAATTGATTGTTATTTTTTAAGAAGTCATCTGTCAGTATTCACAGCTTGTTTTTTTCTCTTGATGTCCTGCCTTAGACAAAAGGTTTCAGTAATGATTTTCCGATAAATCTCCTGGGTACATGGAAATCTAGAGCTCACAGGTGTGATTTTCTAAGCATAAAAATAATGTAAACTTATTATTATTATCTTGGTGAAAAGGGAAGTGCTAATAGAAAAAAATCAGTAATGTCATTCTGAGATTGCTATAATATTTCTTACTTGGTTTACTTTCACTGATATGCATTCATGGGAAAATAATATCAGATCCTTGTGATCTTCAGTCTCTTGTTCCTAAGCTATAATTTAATATAATTAAAGAATACAATTAACACAACAAAAGAATATATAATAAATATAGAAATGTGCTTTTCAATAGTGGCTATATGTGAACGAGAGAGTGCACATGTCCACAAATAGAAAAGTGGAAAGCTATCACCTCGCTTATTACATCAGCCTGATTTTCACCCACAGCTATCCAACATGATTATATAGAAACACAAAACACAATGATGATATCAAACTGAAAATATAAGTCAGTCATTGTTTCATACTATACTAAATACTACATGCTATAATTGAACTAAGCATGTATGTAATTAAGATTGAATTATGGCTGTTTGTTGTCTTGACAGAAGATGTTTTTTCTGTGAATTTGGCTTTTTAACTTGATCTTAAATAGAAGCATTTCATTAAAAAGATCAACATTGCAGAATATTTTGTCCATATCTTTGCTTTAGTATAATTCTTATGCAGGCTTCCTAAAGTCACTAATTAAACAAATAAAAATAAATTGTTTTCCTTCAGTTTTTTTGGTTAACTTGACCTAATAGATCTGAGACAGTTACATCAGCAAAGCTGGTGTATTGTGTGTAAGTGCATTGCTAGGAATTATTGTTTATGATTCTCATTTAATGCAATAAAATGACTGGTGGATCTAGCAATTTTTAGGAAAAAACAAACATAAAAATTGAAACTTTAGCCTTCATATTGTTGCCTGAAATCTAATCACCCATCAGAAATTTGAGGACAAGTGGCAATGTTCTGCATCTCGTATAATAAACAGGCTCAGGTTTTGATTGCAGTAATTTGTCTCTGTGGTGAAAGCAACTATAGAGTGATGGTCATGATTTCACATTGATGCGGATTTAAATAATGGAGAGATGTAATTTTGCACTATAGATGCAGGAGAGGCTAACAGGAGCAAATTACTGTATTTCTAAAAGAAAAAATGCTCTCTAGCAGGACATGTAGCTTTCCCACGTTTAACTAAAAATCCAAAGAGGATGGGGGGCTCATTTACATTTATGTTGTGTATGTTATCTAACGATATAGTCACTTAATGATCAGAATTATCCACTGAACATGCAGGAGTAGTGTCTCCTGCAGTCATTGACTCGATCCAGTCAGTCTGGTTTGCAATCTGCTGAATTTAGATTATCGGTCCAATTTTTTAAATTAATTTTTTTTAATTCTTTTTATGACCAACTGATACCAATTTTAACTGTGATATATAATACACATCTCTACCTTTTTGCAAGAAGTATTGGCAAATATTCTTGTTTGTACAAAGATGGGCTAAATAACCACCTGCCCCCTTTCTCAGATTTCCATTCATAAGAAATGTTGAAAGCTGCACATTTTTCCTTTTCCATCACTGTTGTGTACTTCTTGGCATGACATATTTTGTTCTTTTTGTTCATAACTATGGCTTTAACCTAATGAAAAAAAATTTCCGAGAAAATCTGCATTTTATGTAAGACACACATAATGAATTTTGAATACCAAGATGTTATGATTATAAACTGTTAATAAAACAGTCTTTCTAACTGTCCAGCAGACAGTGACTGATAACCACCGCATGCATATTAATCTACAGGGGGTTGTTGGTAAACAAAATGATGGCTCACAGCGCGCTTTGGCCAAGCATTTTAATGGAAAGTTAAGCGAAGGAAAAACTTTGACCCAATAAGGTAAACAAGCAGCAGGATAAACCACCGCCTTGAAAGGACTAAAAAAAATGCACTAATTCAAGCTCGTTTCTGGTGTATCCTTGGGTGCTTTGTAAGGGCAGCAGTCCTGGCTGCCAAACACCCCAGCACATGCTGCAGATGTTGGCCAGAGGAAGCCAGAAGAACCACATCGTTAACAATGCACATACTAGTTGGGTGAACTCTCCAAAACCCTCAAACCTTTAGAAGGTTTAAAGCTGGTTCAAAGTTCCATGGCTAGAACAAAAAGGAAAATTACACTGCTTCACCTAAAGCTAAGGTTTTGAAACAGCTGAAATGTGCTCCTGCTATAGTTATGTAGATACCTACCCACACACACAAGCACAAAAAGTTTCACATTATCTTTGTGGGAACTTTCCACTGATTTCCATTTATAATGCATTAATTTCTATGGCCTAACCCAGACCCTTATCCTAACTATTACTGACATATACCTAACCTTAAACCTAACTTTAACACCTTAGTCCTAAACCTAATGGACAGACGGACGGATGGACGGACCACTCAGAAAGGAACTCTGGACAGATGCAAAAAAGTCCAAACAAACTTTAGGCATACCAATGCCATTATGCCATGGAAACAGACATCGAGGGGGTTTGTCAAATTATGGCCTTTGAAAAAAGGGACAAAAAAGCTACAAAACACCTACGTTACACAAATGCAACTATTATCTGTGGCTCTCCATTATAAAGCTCAAATCCCAAGACAGATGATGGTAGTCACAGGGAGAAGACAATAATGCATCTTTGTTGTTTCCCATACGGTGGTGCGTGTCTAAACATCGTGTCACAAACTTCCCTATGCTAAATTAACTATTAGTGGGAAGCATTTAGCTTTTGTTGCCTACCCTTTTGTTACTGCTAACACTATTCCAACAGCACTTATCATGGCACTTCTGATGTTCTTCTGCTTTGGCGATTGAGTCCTTACCAAATTGATACATTCAGCCAATGTTTTTGCAGTAGTCACTTCTCCTAGAGAGCATGTCATGGCAGTGGACAATCCACTATATGAGGCCATTAACTTTGCAGCAATCTCATCAAATGAGCACGTATGTGGCTATAATGGAATTGAACATTAAGAAACACCCAGTAAAACATAGCTTAGTGTGAGCAGACATCTAATGCATCAGTTGTATATTTTTAATCACATTTTTTAAATGAAATTGTAATTCTCAGAAGTCTTGACCTATTTAGATGCATCCCATTTAAGAATACCTTTTAGCATAGGTGCATGCAAGTGACTAGTCTTAGCTGTGGCTGGATATGGATTTACTGTAAACTCCTCCAGTATGCATACATCTGGCATTTCTTACTGTACTGCTCAAGCCTGTTCATGCTTTGTGATGACAGACAGAGGCCTATTGGGTCAACATCATTGCCATGTCAACCTGAGGAAGAATGTGTTGCAGCTTGTCTTTTTGTGATGTTTGCAAAAGTGATTTGAAAATCTCTTCGGTGAAAGCAATGCCTGTTTAGGTTTATTTCTGTATTAACTAAATGTCTGATCAATCCAGTAGCATTAGGCCTACTAAGCTAATGAAAATGTAAACAAACCCACAGAAATGGATGAAAACAAGTTTCATCAAAGTTTTCTCAAATTAACGGGTTTTAAGTGATTTTTTTAAGAAAGCCACTGTTTAAAAATCTTTAATTCTAGCCTATTGCAGAGGGTTTTATATTACTAATGGTTCAATACCTTTGGGTGAATAACACGGCTTTGATGTACATGGCAATGAGAGCTAAAGTATACTATCTTATTCTTATGCATCCTACCTGGATAAATGCAACTGCAAAAGTATTGGAGAAAAAAAAGTTTAAGATATTCTGCATATCTTTGATATTTAATTGTTTATGTTGAAATTAGCTGTGAGCCTTTATCGGCATTAATGTGCTGCATTAATACCAGACTCTTATCGGGCCATAAAAAAGATATTGCCGTTAATCTGTTCTCATAGTTTGGTTGTGAGGTGGGTCTTTACTAATGATAACTTTCACCTTGATATTTCAGCCAGGATGTATAACTGGGGGCGAGAACGAATCAGTCTTACAACCTGTGAATCAAATGTGACGTGCTGACATGGATGCAGCTAAAAGCACATCTTTATCAGCCAAGCTAACTGATCCCCTCGCTCTGTGGATAGCCACAAGCGAACTATCATGAGGAAAATACATGACCAGCACGGCGCTGAGAAAGCCACGAAAGATGAGAAGTTGATCGAGGCGACGGGTGTGTCCAAGTTTTGGAGACACTATAATGTTAAATTGGGACATCTATAAGTAGGACACTCTGTTTTTGCAACAAAAATACAGTAACAGATGAGCAAAAAAAAAAAAAAAATTCAGAACTTTGTCAAAATCTTAAGTAAGAAGATGATATTAGGTGTGATTTTGCAAGCATAAAAAAGTAAACCTTTTCTTTTAAGTCTGGAGGTAGCATACACATATCATGAATGCCTTTGGCAGACTTCAAATGAGCAATTTTAATAGATTAAGACTAGATTTACTAGATTAATTCCAAGATTACAGTGAGATTAATCTAGATTAAAAAAAAGTAATCTTTGCCCACCACTAGTTGAAATATTTCTTTGTAAAAAAGTATCAGTAATCATAAATGGAGCAGCATTAGATCTATTAATTGTATTGCACACTTACACAAAATTCTCTTACATGATGCTATGATCGACTCTAAGGCAGGCACAAAAACAGTCAGACAGTGGTAAGTCTTTTCAGAGATGTATCTCCTTATAAAACACAGAGAGATTGGTTGTCCTAGAAAAAGGCGCCCCAGGGAGGCTCAGACTGGATCATTCTGGGGTGGAGATACAATCAGTAATGCGGCTTCAGGAGGAATCTTAGGTGTGAGAGAAGGTTGTGCAGTCCTTACGGTTTTCATATGCTGGGACTTGTCCGGCGGGGGGGACTTGAATTGTTAAGAAAGAGTGGGAATCCGATTGGGCTGCAGTGATTCACTTTCTCTTTTACTGATGGGTGGACAGGCAGGTGAGTTCTTAGGATGAATTCAGGAGGCAGCGAGGGAGACAGACTTGGAGTCAACATGACTGGAACAAGAGGACAACAAGGTAAGTTTTCACCAAAAATGTCAGAATTAGAGGAGCTAGCAGGTAAGTTACCACGGCGTGAAAGTTAACCAATTCCCGTCCTTCCCAGGAAATCCACTCTTCTAAATACTGCCTCCTGATTGCAGCAAAGTGGCATCAGCTGGGAGCTCACCGTGCGAAAACACACCCTGAGGAGGAGAAAGGTACAGTAAAGCACATACACCCACAACCGAGGCCCAACAGTTTCAGCTTAAAAAATAAGAGTTGTGCATTTACTTGGAAACAAAGACAAGCAATTATAGGTAACTCCTAGAGAACTTGCCTTATAAATCTTGCTTGCAAACCTTATCAACAACTTTCTGGGTTTAACTATACATGGACATTTTAGGTTGCCTTTAGTTTCTGATCCAGCACATTTCATTCATAACGTTATCAAGTTCAGAGCAGACTGACTTACACTTTTAAATCAGGTGTATGCGAGCAGGGCATCTAATAAAGGGTAAAACTGGTTTCCCCCTGTAACTATCAGATGGATACGTGTGGACCTCTAAACTGACACTTGGGGCCGGATTTATCAAGATCCAATTTTGCGTGCAGTAATTTGCGCTCGCAAAGTGGAATTTTGCGCGAGGGGCTGAACCATGGTTTGCGGGTGATTTAACAAGAGCGATTGCGTAACTGGTGGCAGGCGGAAAACTGTTGGAGACGCCCTATTTAAATGATGGTTTTGCGCGTTTTGTGGTTTGCGGCAAAGTAGTTTGTGCAAACTAGTGCATTAAGAAATTTTAATCTTACAGTGACACCACCCCTCCAAAAAAAGAAATATATATATATATATATATATATATATATATATATATATATATATATATATATATATATATATATATATATATATATATATATATATATATATATATAAACTTTGGCAACCTTTATTCCCTAAGGTGGTATGTGGCTGAATTTCTACTTCACCGCAGTAAGAAAAAAACACACAAACAAAAATAAAACAGGTGTTTTTTATCGGCCTGTAGAAAAATGCACATACCAAATGGCTCACAAGAAGTGACTGTGGATAAGATGACTGCATTGGCATGTTGCTCCACAGGCGCAGGGTGTCGGGGTTCTCCGGTAGGGCGTCAGGGCGACATGGCATTTAGAACGTCGGACAGCACTTCTGAAAAACGAGACTGGGAGATCCCAGATGCAAAAAAGTGCAATGTTGCAAGGAGTTTCGTGATATCTGGTATTGCGTGGGTCCTCCTTGTGCCTGGCTCCAAATCCATTCGGAGTTCCCCCAACAGCTCCAAAATGGCAATGCTGGATAAACGATATGTTTTGATGATCGTTTCCTCGTTCATTCCAAAAATATTCACACGGAGTGAAAAAATGCGTTCTCTGCGTCTCCTTGCTTCATTTCGATTTCTCCTTCTTGCGACAATAACCGCTGCCATGTGTGCGCAATTACGCATACAGACCATTTGCACCTTCTTTTGAAACGTGTTAAATATAGAGTCAGATACCGTTAGCAAAATTGCTTTCAGGTTTGATAAATCACTTTGCGAGTGCTAAATTAATATATTTACATGTTATCCTCCCACAAGACGCACTTTTGCGTGTAAACGCCCTATATTGAATATTCATTGCAGAAAAAGTACTAAATGGATAAGAGGCGCTATTTAGCACGTTTTAAAGACCAAATCCTTTTAGCACGCTGTTGATAGATCAGTTTGTACATTTTTTTGCGTGCGCAGTGAAATAGCTCACGTTTTAATACACGCAAACCTTTGATAAATCCGGCCCTTGGATGCAGTTCAAAATGCAATTTGATGCTAATAAATGTGACGTCAATGACTTTGCAAGAAAAACATTTACTTTTTTTTACTGAATTTTTTCAAAACTTTACTAGGCGTACCAAAAGTGTCGAAAGTGATGTATGTTTTTTAAGTTAGTGTCATAATGCTAAACTCTAAACCAGGCAAAGTTTAAGTTTTATTTAGACAACAGGGTGTCAGATGATCTAATTAGTATTCAGGAATTTGACAGCACAGCAGACACTCTAGGGTGAGAGGTAAGATAATTAAAGGGTGGTCAAAAAGGTGTAGATATCTAATTGATCAATAATGTACTAGCAGTGACTGAAGATGATGACTAGACCACTTGTATTAACTGGGCTTTGGTTTGCAGGTAAGACTGTGCTTGTTTTTGGATGCAAAGTTTCTCTGTTTCTTGATGTGATGGATCCAGAGAGGGCGGGGGGAGGGTGGACAGGCAGTAGTGCCAGAGTGGAGGAGAAAGAGGTTTCTCACAAACAGGATTACACAGATGAAGGAAAGCTTCAGCCAGGTCCTCTCAGAGGATAAAAGAGGGATATGGACTCAAGACTCAGGAAGACAGGAACGTTCATGGGCATCTAGGGTAAAAATAAACCTGCACACAAATTCAGGGAATGTGACAACTTAGAACATATTACTGGGACTGAATTTTCACATTTAATTTGCACTGAATCGGTAGTCAGTGATGCTTTCATTAGTCTTTTCTTAATGAATATAAATCATAACAAAACAAATATTTTTCAGATTGCATTTTGTAATGTTTTTAAAATAGACTCCCAATAAATGAAATATTTTAGAAGTCCCTTTATTAATATCAAAGAATATTCTTTAAAATGACAGTGTCCACGTAAATCATAATCCATTGTGATAGCTACTGTATTACATTGTTGTTAAGATATTCAAATAAATCATGTTAACTTTAGTTCAACCATGAGAGTTATTATGTTGTCTGGTATACATTAACAACTGCGGCATTCAGATGCACTCTCCTCAAACCAGTACTCTTCTTCTCAATCTGGATTTCTAGAGGCAGGACCTAGTGTCAGGTTCAGCTACAGGATCACCTGTCAGAGGCTGGAGTTAGATCAAAGCAGGAGGCAAAAAAGAGTGAGCTCTATACCCCAACTCTAAACCTTGTACAATAGTGAACGAGCAAACCCCCTTTCCCATGGGAGCTGTAATGGGAGTGGCCAATTACCCCTGAGTAACTTTGTTTCAGCCAACCTGGGGGAACCACAAAGGTCCACACACAGCTGGTACACATGCATGTGCGATTAAAACTGACCCTGTAGCTCTCTGAATATCTGTAAGGAGAATTGGTCTGCTGTCACGTCATACTCCTCCTTACGTCAGCTCATTAAAGCCAAAGCTTCCTGAACTGAAAAGACCAAAATTCAGTCCAGTGTTTTTAATGTTGGTCTGGTGTTGTTTTTATCTGATGCATCATAAAGACCTATCCTGCTCTCTACGCTTCACAAACCAAGATCAAATAAAGTTAGGACCGATCCACTGTCCAATTTATCTCAAATCCTTGCCAATGCAGATCTAATTTCAGCCTCTTAGTACCACAAACAGGAAGAAGAGCCAGTCGATTAACAGCCCATGGTGACTGTTGGAGGGAGTAACGAGGTGGAGTGGTGGTGGGGGTGGAGAAATATGGTAACACATTGGAAAAGAAAAGCAGAGAGGTTATTAGCCTCCATTCAGTCATTCTCTAACTCCATCAGCCCCTGGCCTTATTCCTTGCGTAAACCTAATTAAAGCAAGAAAGCAAATTAGCTAAAAGGATTTGAAGTAAATTGAAAATTCTCAGAAAACTTTACACAACTGGGTCAGACATAGGGGGCTTTGAATTCCTCAAACATGATCTATGTTTGTTTGATAATAACAGAAAGGGGAAGAAGGGTAGAAGATAGGAGAGATTAGCTTGAGGGCCTACTGTAGTTACACATCTGCTCATGCAGTTATCTAAACTAAAAGAAAACAATGATGGAATCACTGCTTTCAGGACAGTGAATGGCAGGCCACCCGCACCAGCACAAAGCTTAGATTTGTCTAAAAAAAATATTTCAAAACATAGTTTTTGTTTTCATGATTTATAAACCAAATACACTGTGTCATGTAAAGATACCAAAAATATGTCATACGAGACAGATACAGATAAAGATTAGCATGTTTGGCTTACCCTACCACATTTGCTATTAAAAAACTAAGTAAGACACCTTATGTCAAAATGGGTGATTAATGTTTTTTTATGAATGAGTTATGACTTTATTGTTTTATTACTTTATTACTTAATTAGTTTTATTGCTTTATGACTATGATCACTGAAGTCAATCCATTACTTCCTACTATCGTCATAGGTAAAAAAAAAAAGCTTTTTTTTCTTCACATATTTATAAGCTCTTTTCCTTTACTTATTTATTTTATTTTATTTCAAGATTCTGATCTCGATGATTTAAATTTTTCTTCAAGCATAGAGTCAGAAATGTTTGTAAACTTCTAAGTCCTGGTTAACACTGAAAAAATAGAAGTTGATATTTAAAGTCCAATTTGACCTTATAATGTGAGAAACTAAAAAAGGATACGGGATTGACAGCTTGCAGCAGCGCTGGAGAGATGTCATATGTTCCATGTTGCATTCATGTACTGTGGGAACTCCAACTACTTTGTGAACACATTCTGTGCAGCATTTATTTGCCTTTTTGGTTAAATCATGTGTAGAATATTACATTAGACCTTTACACTGGAACTACATTTTGTAGTTTATATAACAGACAGCCATTGTAGAAACCAGAAAAAACGTTCCCACAACCGCAAAGTAAATTCTGTGTCCGTTTATGGAAAAATCTAGTGTTTTGAAGATGCTATCGGCCAGCCTTATGGATATTTAATCGTTAAACTTACAGCACAATGTCCAGAACAGTATTAAATTAGGACAGGTTTACTTTCTCACCAGTGGCCCGTCATTTATTAAAGGCTCTGTACCTAGCCACACCTCAGAAATGTAAAGATATCTTGACACATTTGTCACCCGACTTTCTCCATGGCCTGTGTGAAATTTATGTAAATATTCAAAGGAAAAGGAAATATCATCAAAAACTGAAAAAGCAAAAAAAGATAATCAGACTACTGGAGGATAAACAGATAGGAATAAAACGAAAGCGGACTGTGCTCAAATCTCAAGGAGGGGGTTTTATTCTCCCAAACTAAGAGGAACCTCGTATGACTAGTTGTCTTCGGTGAGAGGGTGTAGAGCAGGGGTGCTCAAGTCCAGTCCTCACAAGCTACCATCCTGTAACTTTTAGATGCATCTCTTCTCTAGCACACCTGAATCTAAAGCAGGCATCCCCAAAGTCGGGCCTCGA